GACACTTTGGATGGCACTAATCGACACCAAATAATCTTGCACAAATGGTCCTCTAAAATACTCTCTGTAGAAGCTAAAAATTCATAAGCCTTCCTCACTATGAAAATTCCTCCCGAATCGTGAATCCACTTCCAAGAATCTTTCACCCCCTTCTTTAATTGAAAACTATCCAGCACCTCCCTCAACACCTCCTCCTCATCCCTCTCTCGACCTATTCTCCCTCTCCTCCATTCCAATTTCCAACTCCATTTTCCCCCTTCCCATACCCCCAAGTCACTAATATTACCTAATTTATTCTTAGATAGCTCATATAACCTTGGGCATAAATCCCGTAAATTTTTATTCCCGACCCACAAATCTCTCCAAAAGCTCACCCGATTCCCTTCCCCCACTTCCCACCTAAAACCCTCCACCAACATACTTTTAAGCCTTCTAGAACGACCCCCTACGCTGATAATATCTCTCCAGATTTTTTACGTCTTCCAATTCCCAACAGCTGTAATGTTTACCTCCTCTCTCTTGCCCCCATAATATTTCTCAGTTACTATCCGTTTCCACAAGCTCTCCACATCCTCTCCAAACCTATACCACCACTTACCTAGCAAAGCCCAATTCTTCCTACGAAGATCCGCAACCCCTAAACCCCCTTTTGCCTTACTCCCACACACCTTATCCCATTTCACCCACGAGATTTTCCTCTGTCCCTCTACCCCTCCCCATAAAAAATTTCTCTGCATACTAATCAATTTACTCATCACAGCATTTGGAATTAAGAACAGCGACATATAAAAAATGGGTAGAGCAGAAAGTACCGAATTAAGCAGAGTGAGGCGGCCACCAAAGGACAGCGAAGTAGCTTTCCAGACAGCAAGTTTGGTTCGAAATTTATTAACTAGCGGCTCCCATAACTTCTTGTTCCCAGGATTTCCATCAACAGGCATACCCAAGTAACTAAAATGAGATTTCCCAACTCCACATCGCAACATGCTGGCTGCTCCTTCAACCCATCTCTCTGTCACGTTATACCCATAAATGTTGCTCTTGCTAAAATTAATTTGCAGACCAGACATCAGTTCGAACCATCTCAGAATTGTTTTGACCATAAAAATATTCTCTGTGTCAGCTTTTCCCATAATAATAGTGTCATCTGCGTATTGAAGTACAGAAATAGCTAATCCCCTCCTGCCAATCTCTATACCTTTCAACAAGTCCTCCGACACTGCTTTTTGTACCAGTCCATTTAATCCCTCTCCAATCATCAAAAATAAGAATGGAGAAAGCGGATCACCTTGTCAAAGCCCTTTTCCAGCTTTGAACTCCTCTGTTGGGCTGCCATTAATTAGAACTGACATTCTAGAAGTCGACAAGCACTCCATGATCCAACCTCTCCACTTTATTCCAAACCCCAATCTGTCCATCATCCATTCCAAAAATGTCCAATCCACACAATCATATGCCTTTGCAAAATCAGCTTTAAAAATAAAAGCCGGCTGTTTCCTTCTTTTAACTTCCTCCACCACCTTGTTCAAAACCAAAACGCCATCAACTAATTGACGTCCTCCCAAGAAAGCTGATTGAGATTCACTGATAATCGCTGGTAATACAGCTTTAAGTCTATTCGCCAACACCTTTGATAACAGCTTATATATACATCCGATCAGGCTAATGGGTCTATAATCCTTTAAATTCCCAGCGTTAAGCTTTTTAGGAATTAGTAAATGAGATTCATTGCTTTGAATTTTAATTAGTAAATGCTCTTACAATCAAATTATAGTATGTAGGTGATTTCGAGTCATTAAGCTGGAGTTTGTTTTGTTGATTATACACAAGGGTTATGATTTGAAAGAAAACATTAGGAAACAATATAGAAAAAGGAAAAAGGCAGGATTGAAAATAATCAAAGCGTGCGGTTTCTGCGAACGCTTCGTTAATTCAATTTTTGTTAATTAAGTTTTATTTTTCTCTCTTTTTTACATTATTTATCAAAGTGGGTCTGTTTGTTTATTTTGATTAACAATTGAATTATTCTAAAAATAAATATGTGATAACTGTATTTTATACAAAAGTTATGGGTTGTTGTTAGAAAAATAAAAGAAGGAAAAATACTTGAAGAAAAATTTATTGTTTTCTTGAATAATACTATATATACAATGACCTATATATAAGTGTTTACAAATAGAATATTTTAAAATATAAAGCATATAAAAAGAACATTTTAAGATATAAAATATTTACAATAAATATATTTACATCTTACCAGTTGTCTAACACATTCTTCATATTTAATTGACTCTCTATCTCCCATTAATCTCTATGCAGATTTAGGTAATCTATCATATCTCACTTGGATAAATGGCAACTTCGTCCATTTTTGTATGTAAACAGGTGCCACAGCATCACAGCTAAAGGCTATTTAATTTAGCATTTTAAAATTAGTAATTAATAGTTTCTTACAATCCAATGAATAATAGGATTTGAATTATTAATGAAAGCAATTATCAACTGTCGTATTAAATAAAACTGTTAATTATTACTTTCAAATTACTATGTCAAACAACCTTTAAATATTATTGTATACAAACTTATATACTTATATATTTAATCCTCAAACATAATACCACATAAAACATCTCCTCTCAGCTATATAGAGTTTTCTTAAAATTCACACCAATATTATTTTATGAGAATGAGGAAAATCCAAACATCTTTACAATTAAAATGCTAGGATTGATAATAAATATATTAAAATAT